AACCTCCGGTCCGGGGAAACATGGAACTGGTGCCTGGTGCTCAAAAGGTTGGGGGCGCTGAACTAGAGGTATTTAATTGCAAGATTGTCACTGGCCACCTCTGCTTAGCCTAGCGAAGACCAGAAAAGGTCTTTTTAGGAAATGGCATGAAAAAACTTTACCTGAGGTTTCAGAAGCAACTATAACTATGTAGTACAGTCTAAATTCAAATACCATTAATATATATTCGCTGAATGATATAAAATGCATCTTTCAAAAGTCCATGCTTTGCTATTTTTAATGTTATAATTTGCAATTGTATTATTGATTTGATTTCTGAAATGGCAGTCCTAGAAAAAGGCTCAGCTGATAGCCACTTGATCGGGGCATAGAAAAATTCAAAAGAAACTAAAAGTAGAGAGACAATACCAGCATTGGCCTTGGAATAATTAAAGGACATGGTTTTGTGTGGAATAAAAAGGCTTGAATATTAAGTACATGAAAGTCCAGACTGATTTAAGAACCAGAAAGATACACATAAGTGAACTGTTAAATAATTAGTATCTATTAGTAGACAGCTGAAGAGATTTAAAAGCAAGGCCAAGACTGAACCATGAAGGAAACTGATGGGAAAATAACTTGATTCTTTCACTTAAAACTATACATGGTGTTTATTCCAATGGACAAGAAGGATGTTATCTAGTTGGGTAATGAAACGTCTGCAAGCAAACAACCAAGGTCAGAGAGCACCAAGGACTCCATAGTATTTATTAAAAACAGGCACTTATCAAGCTAGCATTGAAACACGTCTATTTCATTACCATAAATGACATAGGAAAACATGTCAAATTTTCATTAACTATAATCGTAAGCTGTTACTTCAATAGGGTGAAATACAATGTAACCTTTTTACTGTATTTTTCATTGCAGAAGATGCACAGAATTGTGTTTCTTCTGGGATTTTTTTCCTCCTGCATAAGTACATAATCTTTTGCCTCAAAAATTGGTATTTTCTTTTAAAATAGCAGCTGTAATAACAGCATGTGTTGCCTCTGCAAAGAAGCTGAAGAAACAGTGGACCACGTGGTTAGCTGCTGCAAGAAGAATGCACAGACTGATTACAAGCAACGGCATGACAAAGCAGCAAAAATAATGTATTGGAAGATCTGCAAGAAATACCATTTGCCTTCAAGCAAGAATTGGTGGGACCATAAAATAGAGAAAGTAATAGCAAATGAAGAAGCTAAAGTGCTCTGGGATTTTAGAATTCAAACTGACAGACATCTGCCACATAACATGATAGACTTAACAACTGTTGATAAGAAAGATAAAAAAAATCTGGATAGTGGACATGGCAGTACCTGGAGACAGCAGAATAGAAGAGAAGGAACTGGAGAAGATAACAAAATAGAAAGACCTGCAAATAGAAATAAAATGACTGTGGAAAAAGAAAGCAAAGGTAGTATCAATAGTAATAGGTGCCTTGGATGCAATCCCAAAACAACTGGAGCACCACTTGAATACCATCGGCACTGACAAATTCACCAGTCCATTGCAAAAGGTGGCTTTACTTGGAACAGTTTACATTCTGCAACAATACTTCCAACACCATAAAACATCCACATCTGCCTATCCTATGTCCTTTGAAACGACTCGATAGGTGTATTAAAAATGCCAAATCCAGTCTGAAAATCTGGCTGACTATGATGAATGTTTATTTATTTATTATTAAAAAATTTATTGAATAACAAAAAGTTAAAAACATTGAACATGGTAAATCAGCATTTGACAAACATCTCAGTTCATATTGACATTAATTACAGATAGAATTCTTTACAATAACATCCTTCTAATTTCAATCTTGACTTATCTCATTATAATAACTTCCCTATTTTTGTTTTTTTTTCCCACCATCTATAGAATTTATTCCATATTTGGTAAAAATCTGTTTCATCCTATTTTTTAGTCTTTTAGTTAACCTGTCTAATTCTGCGCAATACATAATTTTCTGAATTAAAATTTCCCCACTAGGTATCACCGTATCTTTCCATTTTTGAGCGAATAAAATCCTTGCCGCTGTAACCACATGAATAAATAAATATGTATCCTCTTTACTAACATTTTTTTCAAGGATTTCTAACAACGTCTCAGGTTTGTACTGGATGGTTTGCATAATCATTTTTGTCACCCATTCCCAAACCATGCACCAGTACACCTGTGCTTCCTTGCATGTCCACCAAACATGAAAAAGGTGCCCTTTTCTTTTTTGCATTTCCAACATAAAGATGAGTATCCTTTATACATTTTGGCTAATCTAGCTGGAGGGAGATGCCATCTGTACACCAGACTATGATGAACGTTTATAATGATATAGGTGATAATGCCACCCAAACTTTTAACAGATTATTACTTTAACTGCAGTCTTGTATTAGTGTAATCAGGGCAGGATCTCTCTTCCCCAATCATCACAGATTTGAATCAATCTTGGAGAAAGGAAGTGAATTAGCATAACATTGTGTTATCCATCCCCACTCTTCTGAGTTGATGCAGAAGGACACTATGGTCAATGGTATCAGTAGCTGTTGAGAGATCAAGTAAAGCAAGGATGGATGCATAACCTCCATTCTGCTCACATCAGAGATTATCTAAAAATACAATCAATGCCATTTCTATCCCATATCTTGGTCTGAATCCTGACTGAAAATTATCAAGATAACCCACTTCATTCAATGTTCTCTGAAGCTGTTATGTAGCCATCTTAATTACCTTCCCTAAGAAGGGGAGGCTAGATACAAGGGGAAATTGTACATTGGGGCCCAGCAAAAGCTTTTTGAGGAGGGGATGAAAGAAGGCTTCCTTAAGAAGCAAAGGAACAACCTGTTCACTCAAGTAAGAATTCAGCACTGCTAGAACCTATTTGCATGACACTTGCAAGAACATGGATCTAAAGAGCAGGTAGATGAGAACACAATCCTAAGGATTCTGTCAACTTCATCAGATCCAACAGACTCAAATCATGCTCAGATCTGAGAGTTCTCCCGAGGCATTTCCCTCAGAACTGCAGCAAAGCTAGCATCTATGTAACTGTAAGCAAATTCAAGTGACTTTGTTTGACAGATGCTGAACAAATTTTTTCCCAACCCCTTGAAGGGGTTCTCTGAGCACCCTCTACCTGATATAGAGCCTCAGGATAGCTATCTGCAGATGCAATGGGAATGGAGAAATACTGGAACTTTGCCATCCTTACAGTGATAATCGCAATTCTGATCTGGGTCTGGTCAGGATTGTTCCTGGAGAATGCTAGCAATACTTTAGACCAGTGGTTCTCAACCTGCGGGTCGGGACCCCATTTGGGGTCGAACGACCATTTCACGGGGGTCGCCAAACAACGCAGTCCGCCATTTTTTTCCCCCTTTTCCTTAGCTGTGCTACTCCCTTTTATTCTATTGGCTTTTGAAAGCCAATAGAATAGACTCTCTTGAATAGAGTCTAATTCTATTGGCTTTCAAAAGCCAATAGGAATTGTCCAGGCTGTCTCTGCCCTGCTGAGCCCGCCAAAAGTCCCATTCTGCAAACGGTGCTGCACCAGTTGAGTAGTCCTCGACTTACGACTGGTTGAGTAGTCCTCGACTTACGACCGGTTGGGGGTCGTGGCATTAAAAAGGTTGAGAACCACTGCTCTAGACATTTCTCTTGTTTTAATTGCCTTAGCTCTTCCATAAGCCATGGGAAGTAACAGGATCCATGAAAAAGAAAAGGTTACAAAGGCACAATTTGATCCAAAGCCTCTGACATTCTCTTATTCCAAGCAGTGACCAAGACTTCAGATGGACTATGCAGCTGACTAGAAAGAACAACCAAAGCACTCTTTTAAACCCATCTTGGTCCATCAATCGCCAGAGAAGACTGATCTAATGCATCCAGCCTCTTTGCAGTGGATACTGGCACAAGAGAATCCCATGGTAATCCCATGGTAATCAGGGCATGATCTGACTATGACACTATGAGACCAAAAGCTGCCCCAGTTTCTAACCACGTACCTACTGCTCTGACAGAAACAACAGATCTAGCGTGTGACCATTGTCCTGGGTCATAGGACCACAGCCATCAAGGTGGTCATGAATACCTGATCCACCTCAGAGAAGGCTGATTAAAGATTGTAAGTCTAACAGCAGTCCCAACTGATCCCTGGAGCCCAATTTAATGAACAGAGTCTCACATCTGGTGCCGTGGGGGCAACATCCCTGAAAGCCATAAGCGATTCTCAGATAACAATGACCACCCTTCTCTCATCCCAGGGTGTCGACAGATTGGTCAAAAATATGTAAAATAGAGGTAGCTCATTTTTACTGTTGTTAAATATTATATTCCCTTAGTCATAATTGGTTTGTGCGTGGTCACCTTTGGTAAGGCTGACTCAAGCTATGGATAGGCTCAGCGTCAAAAGCGGTAGAGATACCAGGTTCTCTTTCTGACATCTTTTCAAACATGTTCTCAGACTTTGTCTTTCCCTCATTATTTTGATGGCCGTTTTTTTCTTTTTCCCAAAGCAGATTATCTCTTTTATCAGCTTGAACTGGCACACTGTAGAGATCTAATGATTTTGCCAAAGTCACCAGAAATTAAGCAGCTGATTGCCTATCTTGTACCATCAGCTTGCCTCAAACTCACTGAAAGCCACATTACATATGAAACTTACATTCCTATGATTCTTCTTACACTTAGAATTAAGAGTAATTCTAGGCTTATGCCTAGAATTACTTATGCCTAGGCCAGTGGTTCTCAACCTGTGGGTCGGGACCCCATTTGGGGTCGAATGACCATTTCACGGGGGCCACCAAACCATGCTGTCTGCCATTTTTTCCCTTTTCCCTAGCTGTCCTACTCCCTCTTATTGGTGGCCACACCCACTTGGGGGTCACCACAACATGGGGAACTGTATTATGGGGTCACGGCATTAGAAAGGTTGAGAATCACTGGCCTAGGCAATGAGTTTATATCACAATGTGCATGATACTTACTTTAATGGATTAGGAGGAGGAGGAAGTGGAGGTGGGAGGGGTGGAGGTGGAGGTGGTACTGGATTTTCTGACCGATGTACTCGTTTTTCAAGCTCACCAACTGTATAAAGAGAGAACTGAATCTTCCCTTAAAGTGCTTCTGTACATACATACTTTAAAATGGTAAATACAAAGTTAAATAAAACCATTTTTTGTGAAATAAAACCACTCACTAATCAATGGGCTAACTGAAGTTAAAACTGAACTTTTTTTTTTTTTAACCAAGCATCTCTACAAATTAGGCTACTAAATGTTTCCCATCATTAACCTACGCTTTTACTCAATTTTGTATATTTAAATACACTATAATCCTGGAGCAGACACTGAAGTAAGGTGCTGAGTGAAGCTTCTTCTTCTTTTGAAGCACTTTCAATCCAAAGCAATACACTGACTTAATATCTGGAAACCTCCATGTTATTTTTTTTACAACTGTATCACCTTCTGCTAAACTATACTGCTGAATTTGGAGAGAATTTTAGAACACCTGATAGGATGATAGACAGGAGCAACAGCTTTGATTCTTAAAATGACAAAAGTACTGATTTGATTTTGTCTACTCATATTTTATAATGCTCTGCTTCAGTCTTAAATAACTCCTTAAATAGTACTTTTAAAAAACTCTGAAGAATCATCACTAGCTTCTTTCCACCCAGTTTTTTATTTGCTAAACAATCACTATTTTTAGTATTCAGATCATAACTGAACTGAGAAGTCATTATGAAATCCCATCATGTTGCAATATAGTCAGTACACACATTCAAGTAATTTATTTCACATCCTGCAGTAGTGCCTGGGTGAGTCTCCTTAGCAATTTCCATAGGTTTTTCAGTAACCTTACTAGCCTGCGGCCGGTTTAACACACATCACTAGAGTTTTAGGACCTTGCACAAAGGATTTTGTATGTTTTTCTTTTGACATTTTCCATCCACATAATCCAGCTGCTTTAGGATAGTTAAACAGTACTTCCCCTGCTGGTAACTGTATTTTGAATTTATTAAGAAATGGCAATCTTAGATAAAGAGTAGTAAATTACAGTTTTTAGCACTTAATAGGTACGATGCTGTAAGCTGGTCAGGCACCATCCTGGTAAATAATTCTTTGGTAACAACTAAATCACAGTAGTTGATTCATACTGTATATATTTTAAGTGGTTTTGTCAGTGCTTCTGCTGTCTTGTTTTAGCCTATAAACTGGACAAATAATAGCCAGCAAGTCAGACAGCTTCAACAGTTAGATAGTAAGGGGTAAATGTTTAGCCTGAAGTGCAGGGAATTAGCCACACAGTTCCCATGAATTTTAGCCATTAACACCCATGGGAGTTGCAAAGCTAATTTCTTCTGCATAGCCTTTGACAAAGCATTTACTTTTTAAAATGTCAATCATATGAAGGCTCAAAAAACAACAGGGGGAAACAAAACCTTCACATCCATGCTTTCCAACTATTTATAGCTAAATATTTTTTTTAAAAAATATATTCCTAATTTCCAAGGATGAATACCATTTTATATTTTTTAAACCTCTTCATGGCTTTTACTTCTGAAGTGTTCCTAGTTAGGTACTACAGATTTTTTCTTTTTCGCTGGATGCTATCATAAATCACAATTATATGCCAAAACATATCCAAGGTCAAAACCAGGAAATTATAATTCAGTTCCACTGAAAACTAAAGGAGTTGGTCACTTATAATTTAAATATCTTTGATTTCAGTGGAAAAAAAATACAATTAATTTAATCTGATTAAATATCAGCAATGTACCAAAATTTACTAAAGATTCTTGATATTTTGGTTGCAAATGTTACACTGAAGACTACATGCTAGGAAATAACATAGTAAGTTAATGTTATGCACAAATGGCTAAACTTCTGTTAAGAATACATTAATAATATTTGGAACATCAGCAATATGATATTCTAAATATCTAACATTATTTCTTTAGCTTACCTGAATGCTTTAAGTTTTTAATTTGTTCTTCAGCACTCTGACACTTCTCCTCTAATTCTTTCTTTTCTTCTTCTAGAAGTTTTAGTTGTTGTTTAACGGACTTGATTTTTTTGTGCAAAACTTCATTGGATAATTGTTCCTCCAATTCTTTAATCTAATGTTGACAAATATAAAACCATAATGAATATCTAATGTATGAGTGACAGGATCACCACTGAACTAAGCATACCTCATAACCTAGTATTTAATTTTTGACACAAAATTTAATTATTTTCAATTTTATTGTGTAATAGTTAAAGGAATATCCTAGAAATTGGTTGTCCATATCTGCTATTTATTCAAAATCATTTATTTGACTTTTAATATCATCAGTGAACTAGTCAAGATTATTTTGTGTTCTATCACTACACCTTGGTTCTCCCAAACATGCCCCAGATCTCAAAATCGTCTAGGGATTTGTGGGCAAGGAGCAAAACTTCAAGAGAGAAAGGAAAAGTCAAAACATTATTTGATTTAAATAAAGAATTATCATTTGGAATTCTTTGGAAGGTACTAGCTAACATCTGTTGTGTAGCTTTATGTAATAGTAAGTTCCCAGAGTGGCAAAGATTTAAGAGAGAGTTATGTAAACATCACTTGGAAAGTTTTTTCTTATTAGTGAAAAGATTTCCAGTTTACAAAAAGCCAATTTAATAAAAGGAAAGGAAGAAGGCTCCAACTTAATATTCTTTGGGAGTATAGTTGCTTTATTGGAAAAATAGTTCAGATGCTAGAATTTTTGTTACCCATTTTTTTTCTCAACAAATCTTGCTAAAGAGACTATGAGACATATGCTCAGAAAAGAACAGTTTTTCATTTAAGCAGAAGCCAAGAATCTGACATTTTAATTTGCTACTCATAGTGACTATAGGCAGTGAGTTCTAGTTTTACATTAAAGCATATTAATTTCTTTGAGTTGCTAAATGATTGAATCCATTCATTTTTAGAATACAGTTTAAGTCAGGGGTCCCCGACCCCTAGTGTGTGGACCAGTACCGGGCCATGGCATGCCAGCAACCGGTCCGCATAAACAAGCAAAGCCCCATCCGTAGGATACTGGCAGCATACAAAACCACGCACTCTCTGGTCCATGGAAAAACTTTTCTCCACAGAACCGGTGCCTGCTGCCCAAAAGGTTGGGGACTTCTGGTCTAAGTACATGACAATTTCAACTTGACTTCAGCATCTGAGTAGGAGATGGTTTTAAGCATCTGATGTAGAGACTGGTCAGGACACTAGTTCATCTGGCATGCTTCTTTATTTAGTAGAATCTGATTTGTCAGTTTAAGATAATTGTTCAAATTAAATAACCTGCCTTCTGAACCAATAAGTGATTTTGCTAGTACCTTAAACAGTATAGATGCATTCTGGTAAGCATATACCCTGGGATTATGTCCTGCCGTGTATTCAGCATACTAACTTTCAAAACAAGAGGTTTACTCAGTTCATGGAAGGCCATGCTTACAGTGAGCAAGCTTCACTCATTTACATATTGTGAAGGCCTGATGAAGAAATACTTGAATTCCAAAGCAACATACAATTTGATACTTAACATTAATTATGTATCTTTGAGAAATATTCTTTTTTACCTATATCAAACACTCAGCTTTCTAAGCAACATTCTACCTGCGAAAGATACATTCAGCCTAATCCAAGATATCTGCTGGAGATGTACTGCACTGAAAACTAAAATAGTAAATGTCCAAGGTGGGAGCACGCTTCTTACCTTCTGCTGGTGTTGCAATCTCTCTTCCTCCAGCATTTGAGTCAGCTTGGCATTTTCATCTAGAGCTTTTGAAAGCTGCTCATCAGGGGTAGAGTTTTGTTGCAGCAATTGACTTTGCCGCTTCAACTTATTTTGTTCAATAAACATCTACCAAACATAACCACACAAAATGTCAATCAGATTATTTAGTAAACTGCATTTATCAGAGCAGACACTGTATGGAAACATCAGTTTCCTTTTAGAGCAACCTAGAAGTCCAGCTATGTCAGGCATCAGAAGACTGCTTCCATAATTTCAGCTACTCAAGTGACCAAATATCTCAAGTGACCAAATAAAATATGGAGTGGAGACAAACCCTAAAATAGCAGCAGAATAGAAAATGCACTTGATTTTCTTGCATTTCTTGCATCAAATTGTTAATGGGATGCATTCTATGGAGACACTGAAATACTAGGTGAAGGAATCAAAAAGACTACAAAGCACTTGAGCTTCATTTATGCAAAGTATTTAAGAAAATTCAGAACATGTGGATATAATTTGATAAGTGTGCTGGGATACTGGATAGATACCAGGATACACAGAAAGAATTTTGGGCAATCAAATATATGATTTGATTTTATCTTTCTATGTAAGATGAATTGGGTTTCAGGGTGGACTTCAAATTGTTTACATCCAAAAGATCTTGCCTGCATATTTAAAAAAATCTTACAACAATAAAGTGTGCTGGTTTTGCTTAATATGGTTTCACATTTATCTTGTTAATGAACTATGTGTTAGACAACATAAATTTATTAAAAATTATCAGAAAGTGAAGCTATTAACATTAATCGGACGGACCAGCTCATCCCGATGGATTTAGACCAGTGGTGGTGAACCTATGGCACGCGTGCCAGAGGCGGCACTCAGAGCTCTGTCTGTGGGCACGTGTGCCATCACCCCAGTCCTGCCTCCCCCACGGTCCCCTCCTCACCAGCAGTCCCCCCCAGAGGTCGCCCCTGGGTGCAGCCCACGCAAAGCAGCACAGCCAAGAACATGGCAACCGGGTGGTGGGGACAAGAGTCCGCCCTCGCACTCTGTCATGTGCAGCTGATGCTGCAGGGCGTGGGTGGAAAGTGTGGCCACCATGGCACTATTGGGCTGCCTGGGCGATCTACGGTGGGCCGTGGAGGTGGTGGGTGGCCCTGCGGGCAGGCAGGGCACAGGGTGGCAGGCAGGGCGGGGGCGGGTTGGTTTTTGGGCACTTGGTCTCTAAAAGATTTGCCATCACTGGTTTAGACCATCCCACCTACAATGCAGAAGAGGCACATTCTCTTTCCTTTGTGGTTAAACAAATTTTATCTGATTTTTAATTGTATGGTTCTTATTCACTGTTTAACATTTTAATGTTTTATATGGTATTTTAATTTTTTGATTGTAAGCCTCCTAAACTTGCTTTCACAAGATAGACAACATAGAAGTCAAACAAACAAACAAAGGTTAGACATATACTGTAAAACTATTGCCTGCTATGTATAAGACAAGTATCTTTTGTTTTTTACAGCTTCTCTGGTCTGAGAGGGGTGATTGCATACATAGTTCAATAAATCATAAGGGTACTATGTTGGACCATACTGCTTTACTAAACAAAAAAAAATAATTATTTCTAAATTACTGAAAATTGATCCAGAAGGTGGTTAAAGGAGTGACACATTTTAAAATTACTGCCTCAGAAATAAAGTGTTTATTATTTATGGTGCCATGTTGTTTATTTACCAGATAAAATAACAGTCACAGCAGGCTGACTGATTCATACTACCCCTCAATATTATGTCATTAACAAAATACAAAACCAGATACTTTTATATGTTTTTATTTACTCAAAAAAATCTATGCATCCCTTGAAAAAAGGCCCCTATTACTTTCCAATCTTCTGTTTCTAGATGTGGAAAGACAGAAGTAAGTAATATATTTTGATTTCCATACTATTCTTCTAACAGATAGTTCATTAATTCATACTAATTGCTTAAAAAGTTGGGTGAACTCCAAGCCAAAACACAGCCTGCTTTTCTGCTTGCATGTTCTTAGAAGGCAATGTAAATCTGATCTTAAATAGGAAGAAGAGAGGAGAAGAGAGGTCAGGTGACAGGAAATCTTTCAGGAATTCTTCAGCCAAAAATACCTGGAGTTTCTCATAAAGTCTTTAAACCACAAATCTATGCCCATTTTCTTCAGAGTTTCCTGATATCGGCAATTTAATTATTTTCTGAAGAGACAGATTCTTGCTATCTAATGCAGCTGACCTTTGCTGATTCTGAGAAGCTAAACAAGGTCTGACTAGTTAATTCTAGTTAGTACTTGAATGAAAGACCATCAGAAAACCAGTTGTGTTGCCAGAAAAAAATCATGAAAGTGTCCATGAAATCAACAAGTGTGAACACCAACTTGAAGGAACTTTTTTATTATTATTAAACTACTGGAGATCAGGCACTCTGGCTAATCAATTGCCAGTCACCAAGAGATTTATTAGTTGGTCCCAATTTAATGATTGTTCTAGGTTTGCCTAGACCTGTACTGAGATAGAGATAGACAGACAGACAAAAAGAGAGGCGAGAGAGAGAGAGAGAGAGAGAGAGAGAGAGAGAGAGAGAGAGAGAGAGAGAGAGAGAGAGAGAGAGAGAGAGAGAGAATTGTTCATCTGGCTAATGAAAAAAACATGTGACTAGTTATAGTTTTGGTTGAAGATCTCATGAACCTTTCTCTTCCCAAATCTCACGACAATGTTCTTTAATATACTTTCTGGCAAAGTATCTTAAAATCCATGATGAGTGGCAAAAATATTTCAAAAATTGAAAATCTCTAAGCTGATCAGTTTTTACTGATGGCTTATTCGTTAGAAAAAATAAAAGTCTCCTTTTCTTGACCCGGGAAGAAAATCACTGGCAGTTATCATCAGTAACCTTGGAGCCATGGTTTAAAACATTAATTCATTATCTGAATTAGGATAGGTTATTAGAATAAGTGAAATAGATAACATATTCCCTGAAAATAGTTAAAAATATTAGATTGCTTTAATGCTGATATCTGCCTTGGCCTTTTGTCTCTGATAAGTTAAATTTCCCATTATGTTTGGCAGGTGATAGTTTTAAGTTTCTAAAGATAAACACATTCGGCCCCTAACCTTATCAATTGCTGCATATGACAGTTGAAACTATGGAATGTTATATTAATTATAGTTATACTGTGTAGCAGGTGTTTTTCTTTTTTTCAAATATAGATTAGCCTACACATAAGAACCTTTCTGTAAGTGCAGGTTTTTCAGTCCATTTAGAAAAATATTACATATTAATAGATTAGCTATTATAAAGTAACCTAAAAACCATTAATGCATCTAAATGAAGAGTTATTGTGGAGTTTATTATTAATACAGTCCATTGATATATCTGAATCAATAGCATACAATCTTATGAAAGGAGCAAAATTCCTATACAAGGAGGTCATGGTTGTCTCAAATTATAATTATTTTTCTTTACAATTACAAAAAGCAGATAACAGCATTTGACCTTTCTGCATGTAAATGTTCACTGTGGGATTTTAAACACATTGTCTGCCAAGTATTTACTAAGGAATCTATAATGAAAAGGGCAATGTAAGTAACCAAGTTAAAGATAGGCACTGTAATTTAAAACTAACTCTGTTGTTTACATCATATGTATGGAATCTTTACTGTTACACACATAGAGAAAAATTGAATTAAATGATAAGAAAGGAAGCAGATTCTTTCTATCTTCTCTTTTCTACTCCCAGTCTCAAATTTCATCCCTGTCCTTATTATTTAGACTAAACAATCATGTAGGCAGCAATTTTTTCTTCACGTTAAAGAAAAGCTACAATGCCAGGATATTTCATCATCTACAATCATCAACACAGGTAACTGATTTTGCAAATGGTGTTTTTTCCACAAATATAGTATTTTTTCCCTGCATCACTGTTACAATGAGCTCGCATGGATGCCAGAATTTATTCTTTCTAAGCTCCCAAAATAAGCAAATGAAAATAGATAGCTTCACCATAAACATAAAACAAAATCAGTGAAGTGTGGAGGCTCTCACAGGTTTGAACAATAATATATTTCTGCTTCTGGGTGAGGATCTATCAAGGATTAGACATCCCTCCTTTTTAAAAGTTCCAATAAAATTATATTTTTTTAAAAAAATAATTCTGTATCTCAAAGACTCTGGTACTAATTGCCTGTGTTGACAAGGCAGGGAGATAAATTATGAAATAAGAGATGACACAAACTCTACCCTTTTTTGTATGTAAGGGATGGAGCTTGAGTTTTGATCTCACAACACATTTCATATTCCGACAAAATTAATTTCATTTCATATTCCAACAAAATCATGGCTTAGAATGAGAATAATTAACACCACTGATATGCTTATTGCTCTCAGTACAGTTGTCATTCAATCAAGTCCTTTGCATTATGAGGAGTTTAGGGAACAGAAAATTAGGACTAGGGTTTCTGGGGAAGAAATAGAGGTGTCTGTGTTGGAATAATAATAATAATGATAAAGTTGGAAGGGACCTTGGAGGTCATCTAGTCCAACCCCCTGCTCAGGCAGGAAACCCTATACCATTTCGGACAAATGGCTGTCCAGTTTCTTCTTAAAAACTTCCAATGTTGGAGCATTCACCGCTTCTGGAGGTAGGTTGTTCCACTGGTTAATTGTTCTGTCAGGAAGTTTCTCCTTAGTTCTAGGTTGCTTCTCTCTTTGGTTAGTTTCCACCCGTTGCTCCTTGTCCTGCCTTCAGGTACTTTGGAGAATAGCTTGACTCCCTCTTCTTTGTGGCAGTCCCTGAGATATTGGAATACTGCTTCATGTCCCCCCTTGTCCTTTTCTTCATTAAACTAGACATACCCAATTCCAGAGGACTTGTGATTGTCAACAGTGTCAGCAGTTTGGAGTTCTGGGAGATAAAAGTGTAGTAGCCATCATTTTGCTAAACTATGGCTGGCGCCTTACAGAAAGACAAATCGTTTGCATACTTCCTTTTGTACTGACTTTCAGAAATGGCTTGTTAACTGCTTTTCAGCTATTAGGAACCTTTGGATCAATAGGTTTTACAGCAATGGGTGAGTTTCCTTTGATCCTTTACTGAAACAAGTTTTAAATAAAAGTTTAAGGACATTTTTTCTTTTGTAATAAATAGTAAAAGGGTGAGTAGAATCTTGATTTTAGAAAGTTACAGATTAGAAGGATTTTTTAAAAAAAAATGATTTTGGAATAAGAATTCTTCCATGGGAAAATGGTTTTGTTTTTAATTCTCTTTTAAAAAGAACACTAGAGGGAACTAGGAGGAACTAAAAATTACAATTAAAGGAGAACATTTACACTTAATTCTCTAATGCAGAATGGAGCAAACCATATTATTAAAGGATATTTTGGAACAATGGAGCAAGAAGTTTATTTTAGGAATGTCTGCAATTCTGTGACTGCGTTTAAAAGATGCTTTGGAAGACAGCAAGTTTTTTCGGGCATGACTGAAACCGATTTAAAAGTGGATTTAAAATAATAGGCTACAAGAATGATATGGAAAGATTCTATACTGGACATACAAATAAAACCAGCTGATGTTTTAACAATCAAAGGGGCTATACAAATAGCAAATCAAAAGAGTGATCTGGATAATTTTTCTATAGTGGATTTACAAAACAGTCCTGTTAAAGCTGTAAAGAATTTTATAAGAAGGGGTAAAGAAAAAAACTAAAACAAATCAAGATTATTCAAAGTATAAAGAAAGAATACAATTTGTTTGTTTCTTTGTTTTAATCAAGGTTAAAATACATATGCTGTTATCTTATCTCTGGTAATTTTAATGCACATTTGCTGATTAGGACTGAAGGCTTCAAGGTTGTCTTAAAGCTTCTATGAGACAACCATGATCATGGTATTTATTAATTGCTGCTTTTCGATGATCTGTCATGGTCAAAATAGTTCTCAATTTTATAAATATATTTATTTTCCACTGGATATTTATTTTGCAAACAATTTACATTAATTTACAGGAATAATGAAATACTGGAGAGTTTCTAAATGTTTAAACCAGCTGATGAGTTTTTCAAGTTCAACCTACCCCAGAAGCAAAACCTGATTATGTCAACACTATTGATTTTTCTCTTAATTATGTAATCCATAGAATAAATCCTTTTTGAAACTGATTCCACTTGAATGCATTCCTCCTGAATCCTGAGAAAACTAAATCTTTCAATAGGATAAAACAGCATTTCGAAGGTGATAGGTCCTTAGAGAAATAAGAGGTACAAAAGGATGAATGTAGTCCATGTCCCTGTATCATGATTTTAATTTTATAGATTATTATTAAAGTACTGTAAACTACTTCAAACATTGCGGCACAATAAACAGTGGTATTTTAATTTATGAATAAATTGTTGTTCATAATTAATGATCAAGTGAGGGAACATGGTATTTATTTGCCTGCATAGCTGTCTTTTTGAGAACATACACTGTTTAATGATTTTAAAAACTCTCACAGAGAAGGGAAATTGAGTTAATTTAGGGTAGGAGAGTCAATCTAAATATAGTACAGTATGTGCCATATATGCAATCCTGATATGAGACCTGTCAGTCTAAAAGGAAGGCTCACACACAGGCAGATAAATTACATTTGACATTAAAGAAACTGGAATTCAGCACAAGAAGCTGGATACTGTACACAGTTAAAATATCTGCACCAAGAAAGTCAGAAAAATACGGCCAAGGTCAAATATAGATAGAAACTCTTCAAGTAACCATAAGAACAGTAAACACCCGTTTACTGCAGAGCTGAAGAGTTTTCATCTGAAGAGAACTTCACAGTGTGATTTTTATTAACTTATATTAAATCCATTTTTGTACTGTCACATATTCTCTATAAAGTAGCCATTTATAAAACAGCGAACTAAAGAGAAAAGAGCTGAAATTGAAAAAAGCCATTGTTTCTTTAAAACATTTTAAAATGTTTGCTATTGTCCGTTCTCTGATCAGAAAAAGCTATTAATTTCCATACCTCTTGTGCAAAGGATTCTGCCCTCTTACGCAAGTTTTTTTCCAGCTCAAAGTTGACTTGAAGTTCTTCATACTCTTCTACTGCTAGTATAGACACTATGTGAAATGAAAAGGAGAGGGAGAAGGAAGAAGGGCAGATAATTGCAGCAACAGTGGTGAAACAAAACACAACCATGAAATATGCCATGAAACAAGATTATTTAAAGTGTAGCAATATGGCTGTAAGGAAGATATTTTCTTCTTTTCTACTACAATGTTGTAATTAGTTATATAACTAGACATATGTACTAAATTGGAATGGGAGGTTTATTTCAATGAAGATAGCTCTGCTAGAAAGAAAGAGGGACAATCTTTGAATGCCAGCACAATGTTCTCTTCAAGGTTAGAAAGCAAGACTGAAAAATTATGTTGAAAAATGACTGTAGAAGTAAGTTTCTTTAAGGTAAAGTGAAAAACACTTTACATTACATTCTTTGGCAAATTAGACAGAAGTTTGATGGTTCTGGTCCAATGATGTCAGAGACATTCAATAATAGATACTTAAAACAGTAAAAGAAGTGGCCATTTCTGGGCTCATCCACATAACTTCCTTCCTAAAATATCACGATGGTCTGCTTACCATGTATGGAAGAAAAGATCTCATAACATAACCTTGATCTTGAGGTCAACCTGTTATTCTGGGCCAGGTTAAAAAAAATTACACATTGTATCTTTATGTTATATTGAAACTTGCCCGTTCAACCCAATTTTGAGGCTGACTCAGTTGAAAATGGAAAGATTCATCCCACTCATATCAAATAGTTCATACTAGCTTCTCCATTCTGTATGGTTCTTTACCAATGCTGGAGGCAGAGAGAAAGGATCTTCTCAATTGCACCTCTGGGTACTAGTCATGCATGAGAAGCATTCCTGGCTCACTGCAAAGAAAAAGGCCTGCTGCCACAAGGAACCTGATATCCAGGCTGACCCAGCAAAATCAGAAAAAGGAGGACAAATACAGGTGCATTCCATAGATGACCATGTGGGAAGAAGAAGGAGAAAGTACTCATAGGAAGAAGTAGTTAACCGTAGGCTCTGGAACTCAACCTTTCAATTCCCATAGACTCAACAAATTGTCCACTATGTTGAAATGGAACCTTTGTGAAAGATTAGGGCACCTGTATCCATGATAGGACAGGAGAGTAACATTTTACTTCTCTTTTGACTGGAAGAATAAAATCTCCTGAAGTTATCATGAAGTAAGCTATTAATTCTGAATACTTTGGGAATTATAACTGTTCCAAAATCATTAAATGTTAACAGCCTTATTTAAGCCTGGTGAGTTAATGTGAATATGGTTTTAATTAAATCGTTAACTATCATTCAGTAATCTGAATACTAGTCATCATAGAATTCAGATTACATTTTATATTTCCCATTTCAGTTATAAATAAATATTGATGGGTTTATTGAATCGGGAATAGAATATTTTATGATCCAACTGCCAAGGTTATAAATATATCAAGGTCTTCAAAGGACATCAAGGAGCAATTGGCACACTAAGTCATCCTGATCCTTCTTGTTTAGATTCTTACATTTCTTGAATAAATTCTAATAGATAGCAACTGTTTGACCGTCTTAGATTCTTACAGCTCCTACATGTAAGTATACTTCATGAGACAGAGTCTAGAAGATTATTGTTTCCTTCCATCTAACATGTGTCAGCAGGATCCAAGCAATCATTATGCGACTATATTATACACTGTGTGAGCCAAAGCAGGAATTTAAAAACATTTGCAGTGATAAAAAGTTTCTTCCAAGCAATCAGGGGAACTTTTATAAATTGACATTATTCTGTTTTATACTGTCTTGTCATGCAAATAGTGCAATAATACAGTTCACTTTAGATGTATACCTGCAAATATGATTATGTGCACAAGATAGCCAGGAGCTCCTCACATACATTTTATCTAAATCAGCTACATTGTTGCCAAAGATTTATAAACAGGTATGGAAGAAAACAAACAATCTTGCTAAATCACAGTTGGAACTGACTGGAATATCGAGGTGGGGGTGGGGGAAAGCATACAGGCTGGTCAGCAATGCAAATCCTTCTGGACCTTGTTCATGTAGATCCTACACTCTTTTACATTTCCCTCTTCTTGCTTGTCATATATGTATACCAGCCTTCATGGATTTGAAAATATCTTGTGATTATCCAGTACAGGTCCTCAACTTACAACCACAATTTGGACTAGATTTTCGCTAAGCGATACCGTTGTTAAGCAAATCATCATATGACCAGGCCCAATTTTACAGCCATTTTTACTGTGATAGTTAAAAAACCATGTGGTTATTAAGGAAATCACATGGTCATTAAACAAATTTGGCTTTCCCAATTGACATTACTTGTCAGAAACTGGCTAGGAAGGTCACAAATTGAATCACGATTGCTGGACACCACAACTGGTCATAAATGTGAGCTGGTTGCCAAGCGCCTGACTTGGTGTCACGTGATCCTGGGAGTGGTGTAACAATCATAACTTCAGGAGCAGGTCATAAATCACTTTTATTGAAGCTATCATAACCTTGAACCATTCTGAAACAAATTACATTTTAGTCTAGCCAGGTATGCAATCTCAGGCCAAATAATTAGTTTATGGTGTATTGCATGAATCCTGAAAATTGTGCTCCCATGGTTATAATAAATATGGCTAACTGTATGGTGTGAACATAGCTACTATTAAATTGAGTACTGTACTGATAGGATTGTTTGAGGATTGGTAGAATTGCAAAATACATTCAGAGAGTCAATGCTTTCTGGAAAGTTACTATTACTTATCTCTAACCAAGAAAAGCTTTTATCTCAAGGCATGTCCCTACACCAATTTACCAGTAACTTAACAGTAAACATATGAAAGTGCATCTTCTTTTCTTTGGCATTCACAAGAAAGCAGAAAATGTAAGGATGCAATTTTCATCTTCTAGTTAAAGTAAGTGAAATCTTGTGAGAAGTTGCCTGGATTTTCTGGCTGATTCTGATCAACCTCTTATACATTCTCTATAATGTAAGGAGGATTGGTCAGTTTTATAGCTACAATGCTTATTACAATATCCACAGGAATGTGGCAGTAACTTATCGTACTAGAATCCTTGTCTCAGACAAGTATCTAGAAGTTCTTATCAAGTGGATCAAAACCTGATAAGTGGCCATCTGATAACTGTAGCTTCTAAGATCAGATAGCAGAAATGTGGAAATTTGCAATAAATATATTTAATTTTATTATTTATTCCAGGTACACATATTGATAGGATTTCCATTAAAAGACTAAGATATGCAGGGCTAATAGAATCTACGCAGTAGATTCACAGATCTGTCCTTGGATCTCTGTTTCATCAGTTATTTATCTGTCCATCTGTCTACTCATCAGTACAACAACACAGCTATTAAAATGTTACCATTAAGAGTTCTAGAGAAGCATACATACGTACTTCGATTACATTTTTCCAACACCTTGTGATGTTTTTGAACTTCAGATGCTAGAACTGTGTTTTGTTCCTTTAGTTTATTTATCTGAAAAACAGTTGAGCCAAATAATGAGATTATCAGAGAAACTAAAACACTAATAATGATGCTATGAACATTGCAAGAAGTTTGGCTTTAAATCTATCTAGTTTTCAATCTAATTTTCAATTTTAAGTGAATAACTGCAACCAGGGAGTGTACTAATATTCTTAGTTATTTCACTGACGTATTAGTTTCTGTACCAAGTTGCAAACACCTGCTGGATTTCCAGCTAAAGAAGCAATCTGAAACAACCTTTTCCCATTTACTTCCTATTACCTTGGGTCAAGATTATAGCCAAATGGTATTAAAACAGTTAGAATACTTTAAATGCTATATTAAATGGAATCTGCCTTGAGAGGTAGCAATTAAATACTTTGCAGCTCATGGAGAGCAAAGCCCTTGCTTATGAAGAATTAGATTTAGCTAGCAAGACGGCTTACAAAGGGACAGGATATTATTAAGATGTATAGTTTAAAATTCTTGCTTTAGCTTTGACTAGCATAATATCTACCATAAAAATCACAGCTCCCAATCTCAGCAACTGAGAATAGTCTATTCTCTTATAGAGTGGGTCACTTTTCATGAGATGGAGGACTGTATAAATTTGATTATTAAATAAATAACAAACAATCAGGTAGCAAAGCCCTGACCATGTATTGATAGTCCTCAACATAAATCTTCATTTAACAATGGTTCTAAGTTACAACAGGCTTGGGGAAAAAGCCCAACCTCACACTTACAACCATCCCATTACCCCTTTAGTCACATAATCACAATCCGAGCACTTGGCAACCAGCTTGCATTTACAGCTAATTGCAGTGGTTTGCGGTCATGTAACTGTGATTTCTAAACTTGCTGTACATTTTCTGACAAAAAAAAATGCCAATTAGGAAAGATGGATCTGCTTAATGACCACATTAAAAACAGTCATAAAATTGCATCTGGTCACAAGATGACTCACTCTACAACCTCACTGACTTACAATGGAAAAGACCTACCAGTTGTTGTGGTCATAAGTCAAAGGCTGCCTATACAGTGGTTCTCAGCTATCTTGCTGAAATACTTACTTCTGCTATCCCTTCCACAAATGTGCTCTTCACATTTTCCAGCTCAATGACGGCAGTCTTCTTCTCCTCTTGAAGTAAGATAATTTGATCTCTCAGATCTTCATTTTCAAGAACAGCAGCAGTAGTTCATTTTTCATTTTAAGACAAAAAAAGGAACATGGTAAGTGTAGAAAAGCTGAAGAGTAAGGCACTCACTGTTTCTTGAATTATTAAGAATGCAGAGGTTTCACATGTCAATGTTCTCACAAACAGTAATGGTTAACTAGCCTTTAAGTCTGAGTTTGAGTTTCATCCTGGAGATTTTCAACTCTGAAAGGGATGATATATTCTCAACTCAGCCATACAAGTTATCTCTCAGTTTTAGAGAAAGCTTCTTTTTAAAGAAGACACAAAAATTATTTGCTTTTTCAGCAATTCTAATAGCTGTCATCTCATTTTCTATTATCTTATTTCATCGTTCTAAATAATAGAGCAGAAAATCATAACTAGAAATCACTACCTAAAGAGATTAGCATTCAAAATTAAACAGCTGCATGCCATTTAGCACTACAAAATAATAAGTACTACATTTTAATATAATTAAGATTTAAATATTCCCAAATCACATAACCCTGAGCAATATACAGTTATTATAAAAGTATATAAATGTTTCAGGAAAACATTAAAAATATAAACCCCCCAAATCCATACCATTCAAGCAAGCAGCAAAACTAAACAAAAGTAACTTTAAATTTGCAACTTTAAAAAACTGGACTAGTTTCAAATTAATCAGTACAATCAGAATTATCAGAAACTGTTCATAAACATCAATTTTATAGCAGAGAAAAAGCAGGAAAAGGAACTGGGTATGAGTCTTCCTAGAGTTCCTGAATAGATGTCAATACACAGTTTAATTCAGCATGCTATAAACTGTATTGGAATTTCTTCATTAAATACATTGTTTGATACAGTATTATAATCCCCATTTTATGGAAGACTGGTCTGCAAAAGCAGTATACAGTCTGAAACGATGAGTCTCTGGACGAGGTTTGGTTTAAGTCAATAAACTGACTCGATTTAAGCCTACAATTGAACTGCAGAGATTATGCTATGCTATTTAATCTAATTCAAATGGCTTCATCTCCCACTTCTGAGTTAAAGAGTGATCCAGACAATGGTCAGCCAGTCCAAAACAATGCATCTGAATTTCTGCTGTCCCATTGGTTAAGTCCTATTACGTTCTTGCTGCTTCTGTTTCAAGTTTAGTGGCTAACAGTCTTGTTTTGATTTGTGAGCTTGTCATTTACTCTAGGCAAGCTGCTGTCCTCTTTCAACACAGGACTTCCACTAATTAGGGTCCTGCATTAGGAATGGGGAGGCTCCATCTTCAGAAGTCTATTTAGTGTTCTAATTTCTTTAGGTGGTTTGTCTGATTCCTTACACCACGTCTTTCTACAGAAGCTGGAAACTTCATCAAAATGTTGCACAAAAATGCACATTCCAAAACTTTTGATGAAACAAGTGCTGCCTGTTAAGTATTTGCCTGAATGTCATGACACAATTACAAAGGGGGTACAGTTTCATCATTCCCCTAGTGATTCCCTGTGGGTGTGCCTGAGTCTTACGCTTTATATCCCAAGTTAAGTAATATTGAATCAAGACACATGGGAATGCATCACCATAGAAATCCACTCTTAGAGAGGAATGAGGGAAATTCCATCATAAATTAGCAAGTAGCTATTATACATCTGAACTGAACTGAGAATTGAACCTAACTACTGGACAATGAGGCCTATTTATGGGGAGTGAAACCACTGAAGGCAACTTCAACATCTCTTATTATTTTTGGGGACATGACAGCGAGGAAAAGAAGCGCACTTGATAAGTGCTGCCTAAAAGGCATATAAATGGTATAATTAGATGCATATACAGTACACTTCTCACAGTATAATAGTCTTATATTTCTGGTGGCCGTCAGCTGAATTGGGGTTCACTTGTCATTATTCCTAGAGAGCAGAGCAACTGGCCATTCTAATGAGGAATTAGACAGGTTGAAATCCAACACATCTGGAAATAGTTAGATTGGGGAAAGGTATCTATTACAATGAAACTGGATCTTCATGTTCACTTTTTGAAAATGTAAACCCACTCTAATCTTCAGAAAAACACTCACCTTTTATTATCTGCTGGCATCCCATTGAGTCACAGGCTCCAGGGCTACCTTCTGTGTCCGTACATGATTCTCCATCATCAATGTTAATTTCTTCAGTAATGGTGTCTGTTCCCAGTTTTGCCATATACAACATGCTGATTCTTTTCAGAGTCTTGTTCTCTTTGTTCAGCTACAAAATGTCAATTATATATTCTGTGGCTATGAATTCCTTATATATTTGTTTTTCCTTTTGAAGGAAAAATAAATATGTCTGATGCCTATAAGGTCACCAATGAGTTTGGCTGAAGAGAACAAAATTAATACATTTTTCATTATCCACACTTAAATTAGGGAATTCCTTTTGCTAGAAAGATTACTGACGCCTTCTAGCATGGCATGTTAATAAGTGTGATCTATAAAACCTCTTTATTTAAGAAGGCTTTTGTTTAGTATTTAATACAATTTATCTCCCTTACCTATTTCATTTTGTGATTTTATTTTAGTGCTGGCTATACTGAATGATGCATGAGCAGCAAAAGAGAAGAGGACAAAGGGTCATATAAATATAATAAGACTGGCATTTCTTGAGACATCAATTTCAATGTAATAGAGCAAATACCGGCACTTTTTCAGGCTAAGATTCTATCTGGTTATTGCACTGGATTTGAGGAGTAAGATTCCCCAATGTGGGTGAGGCTATTAAAAAACTAAATGTTATTTATTTAATTTAAATGTAAGCTTAATTAAATTACTATTAATGTCATATTAACATATAATTTATGTATTTAATATTTTCTGCTAGCGTACTAAAAAGGATAATTCAGCACTTTTATAGAAATTTTGAGGGCTTTATTCAAGATCCTGAGAAATGATTTAAACTAACTTGCAACTTTATAAAATTTTATAACTTTATAGTTTAAGTTGCAAGAGAAATGGGTTAAGGATATCTTGTTAGCTGTTACTTCTAAGGATATGGGAAGAAAGTGCATGATATGGCTATAACTGGGAACTCTAGCCCCTCTCCAGAATTCAATCATTTCTGAAGGTCCAATAAGTACACAACAGTTCTTCCCTTTTGCAAAGATACACACTGACTTTGATCATCCATGAATATACTGTGGCTTTCTACAGGGAATTCACAGAGTTCTAAACTTTGTACTCTAAGGCTTAAGCTCAGATGGAAACTTTTGAATGTAGGCCAGTGCTTTTAGTTATACATATTTAATTGAATCCAATGATACATGATCATCAAGTTTGTTTGATGAGTTCTATACTTTAACGGATTAAGTTACAGCTGCACACAGCAAGCCACTTTCTCATCCTTTTCCTAAGATGGCACAACAGATAATTTAATCTAAAGATTTTTGCTCTTTGCTTCAATATACAGAAAGAAAAAGGGGTACAAAAATGAATCATAAAATCAAAGAGGAAGAAAAAAGAAACAGGACAAAACCTTGTAATGTACACAAACAACAGCTCCATTTCTAATTACCTTGATGACTCAGAGTAATATTGATCAGTTTTTTTTATCATGTCTTGTCAATAGAAATTCAGTTCATAAGTAGAAAGTACTAATAAACAATTCAAGTTTGTAAATTTGGAATAACACTCCTTTCTGATGAAAAAAAATAGCCTTTTTTGCTATGACTCATACTCAATAGGTAGAAGTATAAATAGTTCTTCATACAGTAATAGATTTCAAACTCTGGGAGTAACATTCAGAAACACATTCATACTTTTAAACTATTAATTTTCCAAGCTACCTTAACAAGTATATGAAGTAAATGAGCCTAACATATGCTACATTGCAGGAAGAAAAATACCCTCCCCCCCCAGAAAAATACCTGACAGCTTCTCTTGGTTGTAAAATTGGAAGCACATCGAGCACAACTCACTACAAAATGAAATATGTAGATGAACATAAATGCCAGCATTGTTTTTCAACAAGAACTATGCTGTTGTTGGATTTGAAACAAAAACATTTTTAAAATGCAGGTTAGAAATGCGGGCATCAAGTTTTTCAAATTAAGAGCAGGCCTGTGATATATTACTTCTGCGCCATTTGAAATCTTACCAAATTCTTGATTCAAATACAATTTACTGTTCTACTTAAAGCAGGTATAGATTTTTATTTTTTTATAGTTTTTAAAAAACAAGGCAAGATGAAAAAGACAGATCTGCAAAACGGAATCCATTTTGAGAGGAGCACAATAAAACATAGCAGAGAACAGCAAAGCCAAATCATCATACTTACTTACATACCCTCACAGAGTGATCATTGTTACACCAGCCAGAGGGTTATTTTAGTGTGTATCATTACATAAAAATGGAAAGAAAAAAATCCATACATTCATGTTCATACTGATAAGTTCTCGTTTTATAAATCCTTATTTAGTATCATTATGCAAACAATCAAGTAAATACCTATACAAAGTACACTATTAGTGCACCTACATTTTAAAAAATACTACTGTGGAATTTCTGCTATATCTGAAGTAGTAGTTTGGGTAGGGGGGAAATTCAAAAATGCACACACACATATACCTGCGCACACCGACAGTCACAGAAACAGCAACACACAGAATCATGGACCAGCCAACATTGCTAATGAAATTTGGTTCAAAATTGCTTCAATCTATTTTCTGATGATGAAGTGGTTGGTATGTGTTTTTCACAACTAAAAAAAAAAAACTCCAAAGAGATAAAAACATTCTTTAATAATAATGATGCACTTCTGATGAGATGGAATATAGAAAATTATATACTTGGCAAATTCATCAACCTAGATGCAATCAACAGAGCAGTGCAGGTCACCTTTTGCTTGCTCCATAGTTTGCTTTCATAAACAATCACCTGAAATGTAATACTCTGCCTGACTTTTCCATTTGATTCAGACCCTGAAAACCTCATTATTCTTTTATGTCACAGACACTCAGTATATTTCTAAACTTGTTTATCTGTTAACCCAGATACATAAAATACATATGGGAGGAAAGTGTCAAAGAACATAAATATGAATATATTTATGAACATATTTATGAAGATATGAATACATATGCACATATTGGTAAAATAACAATTTTCTATTGTCCTTATATTTCTCTCCAATCCCCAGATATCAGCATCATATTTCAGGGTTGATTCATTCTAACATTCAACCCTAACACATAATAAACTATTCTCCATGAAAGGATTTTATCATGCACTAACTCTATAACCAACAACACCGAAAAGAATACTGGATATATCTGCATGTTCAATGGGGCAATATTGACAATATTTTGCCCCAGTGCATAGATATGCCACGCTAAAGTATACATACGGTATATTTACTCAGGAGGAAATCCCACATAAAATTTAATAGAATTTCTGCCAAGTAATGCACAAGCATTTACTGACCATAACCCCAAAATAACTCTGGACAGAACATTAGCCTCATTTTCTGCAGTAGAGCTCATAGTTTTTCCACTGTACAGTGGACAAGAATGTACTGGCAAGGCAATTGTGTGAGTCCATCTTGACCAACCTATTACCCTAAGACTATGACTTCTGAACAGAGAATATAACATATAAAATTATTTCTTACCTTAGTAGCCAAAGCTTCTGCACTTTCACGACATGTCTTTTCAATCTCTAGGTGGTTCTGTATACAGCTGACTTCTTCAATAACCATATGAGAAACTAGAGAATTAGGGTAAAACCCATGATTCATACAGTTTACTATGAGTCAAACCTTCTCCCTATATTGTTATTCAGAAGAACATCCTATGCTTATGAATATTTCCTAGATTGTCACATGTTTTAGTATGTATATAATTGCTTTCCATGTATCACAGACACTACCATATGAAACATAATAAAATGATACATTTGGGAAATTATGAAACTACATTCTTGGTTTTCACTCAGGAAACCCTCCCCCGTACTCTGGTCACACAAAGGTATATCCTAATGTGCCATTTCATGCATCTGATGAAGTGAGTTGTTGTTCATAAAAGCATGTCTTTTGATAAAATTTGCCATCAGACTCTTTCTGATTTCTTTGTATTATCTGTTTGTTGTTGTTGTTTATTAGCTGGTATACTCTTTCTTGTTTCTCTCTCATTTTTGAATATATCAATGAAGACATTTTTGGTTCTTTTTAACATTCTTCCCCAACTATATCTCACTCTGCTATTTGGCCTTTCTCCACAGTGTAGTTGAAGAACAATGTTAAAACTCTCTCTTTGGCTTTTATTTTCAATTTGTCACTAAGTGTTTTGGGCTGCCAGACTGACTTCTTTTTTAAAAAAATCTTTCAATTTCACATACAATACGGGGTGGGGGTGGGGGGGAATCACACGTTTATTTTACACCAATGTACTTGTGGCAAAGAAACAGCAAATTGCCAAGAAAGTTCTAATCCATCCTTGATCTGTTTTATTCCAAGATTTCTTCCACTGACTCATTAACGCCTATTTTTCGTGTCTCATCATTTTCTACTCTTCCTTAATCCAGAAGGCTGACCAACCTCTACTATCAGGAAGAAGTCACTTAGGAGCAATTGAGTCAAAGGCTAGAGCCATTTCTACACTTAAAATTCTCTCTGTTGCCTGTGGAAAAATGTTAAATCCTCATTCTCATAAGATTTAAATATTCTGATTCTGGAACCAGCAGAATTTAGATCTGTCAAAAGATCTATTTGGAATTTATCTCCATTCAGGTCTATTGGAATGCTTTATTAATTCTGTATATGGTATGTCCCTCAGGAATGAGTGTATCCCATTCCCTCCAATTTAAATGTAAAACATTTCAACAGGTAAATATCTAGTTGTAGGTCAATTTTCCTGCCCCAACATGTCACCCAGATTATACTATTTGAAAATTATTCTGTTAGAAAGAAGTGTACTTGCAGCAAGGGTGCAATAATGCAGCTCAGATATCAGTTGTAGCCTGCTAGCATCTCTTCTGCAGCCTCCACTTATCCCATATCATTTAAATGGAGGTAAGGGGGATGTAGAAAGGTTTAGTCTCCTATTTCACTCTTTACAACTCCTGTATAACTTTCCTCCCTGCCCAAACGTATCCTGATTCTGCCCAATTTTACAGTGTAGCCCTTATATTCTAAATCAAGCCTAAGGAGTCTCTTGGGCCATTGGAGGTTGCAATGCCTATCTATTTGTTATGTTCAAAATCAAGTCCTTTACAGCTCCATAGGTGTGGAGTAGTGCTGAAAACTGTGCCTTAAAAGCAACATGAGAACAATGATACGCTCCATAATTATTATTTATGCTTTGAGTTCTATGAGCTTCTGGCACTGTACCATGACAGAGATGAAAGCAAACACACTTAATCCAAGGAGATGCGTTGTGCTTCAGCTAGGCCTGGAGCATTGCCACATGGCAGTTGTGTGTTGGGTAGAAAAGGTAAAACCAAAACTGGCCAAGCAAATTCTCTATGCTGGGATCATGTAATCAAAGAACACAGTGGCAAAAGAATTGGCACCAGCACCCATACTTTAAGAGGCTTATCTTCTATTAGGTCAACCCAGGCCATCCATTTTTGCTGTGTGTCATGAGCCAAGAATAGGAATAAGCAATGCTTGCCATGCAGAGAAACTGTCAGCAAATGGGAAGAGTGTACAAAACACGAAAAAAATGCCCCAAGTAGACTGTGCCACATATTGCAAGAAAAAAATAAGTTACCAGCCAACTTGCTTCAGATTGCAAGCATATTCCCAGGTACTTGGGAGCAAAATCTATTAAGTCATTGTAATTAACTTCTAATGAGTTTGGTTGCATAGTGGCATTAAGGAAATTATTGCCTCTGAACTGAAAGTATAAAGTGACAACTTATGCTCAGAAAGTAAAGTGCTTTATTATACTTAACTTGACTACCATATATTGTCTATCCATATATTTATATTATACATATAAAATATGTACGTATAAAACATGCATTGGGGAAATATGCAATGAAACCAGAATTAACTATTTCTGTATCACATTATGAAATTATGAAAAACTCTATAAACAGAACAAGAAACTATTGTTCACACGGCATACTGTTCTTACATATAAATCAATGACCAAAAAGAATGTATGTACCTTATTTGTTTTTAATCCAAGAAGGTTTTCTTATTTCTCATAATTAGCTGAAATATCCTAGAAATAACTCACGGTTCATTTACGATTAGTTAACCTGCCATTATGATTAAATTTCCAAAGAGGAAAAAATCTTTAAAAATTAAATAGCAAGAAAAGGTGCTACTTTCTAAGATGTCCCGAGTTTTTCTTAGGTTGATATTAAAATTCATAAAGCAACACTAAGTGGCCAGAACCCTCTCCAACCTCAACATTTTTTCAGGGGTAATAATAATATGCAGCAAATGCAGGCCAACCAAAAACCACTTAACTAATTAGTAGTTGCAGTCACCGAGAAAACATGAATCAACACTGTTATTACAAGTGGCACATTTGAGTGGCATCTAATTATGACTTGATGAGCGTGATACTTGCATTATCAACATTACTCCCGCATCCCATCAGGGACTAAAAGCCGCTGATGGCATTGACTGCAAGAAACTCCCACTCAATGGCACTGCAGCACCCAACAATCTCCTTGGCAGGGGCACCCTCACTAAATGGCACGTTAAGCGTAATTACTGGCCGACATTGTAAATAAACAGGATTGGAAGTGAAAATTGTACCAAGTGCATAAGACACAATCTGACACATTGGAAGTGGCAGCCTTAATTGAGAGTTTCTTTGACTGTTCAAGATCATTTCAACTGCATTTCTCGGAGGACAGTGATTATAACTGTGGAGACAGACGGCATAATGGTATCAGCACTGCTGACAGAGCAGTGAATTAAATTGTATCTGCTGTTGTGTGAAAGCCTTGATGAGAAGTACAGATCCTTAGTGGTCTTATCATTATCACACAATGGTCATGTTGTCATCAACCTTTCTGGCTCCAATTGAAAAGAAATGATTGTGTGGTGAAGCGTCCCCCTCCCTTACCACCACCTTCTATCTCTTGTGCTGAATAGAACCAATTTTCAGAGAGCTATGAAATCACGCTATAGGGCCTAAAATGCAGCTGCTTGGCATACAAACTGGGCCCCATTAAACAGGAATCAGGCACAATATGTGTTTATGCCGAGAGAACAAATAGAAGCTGAGCACAGGCCAAGTTTATTCACAGACACAAAGCCCATGTAGCTCTTCATCAATATAATTGCCTTTTATATTGTCATTTAAATAATGGGCTCCATTATTGCTGTAAAATCCTAATATTCCTGGCATTTATTGCCATGTTTACAAGACATGTCTTTTTTTTTTTTTAAGGAAGGTAGGAAAAAAAAAGAATCAGAAAAAGAATGAAGAGGAAGATAAAAGAAACCTATGACATTTTACAAAAGCAAATACTACTTTTGAATTTTAAGTCTTAACTACTTGACATTTTCTGCCTGCTTTATGAATTGCCAGCATCATAACAAATACAAATAGACCATAAAGTATTTGTGTATTTTTATACGTGATACTCATTCCCTTTCTTTTCACGGGAATTTGACTTATAATTAGAAAATGTTTGCCACTTAGGATGATAGCCTAAGTTTAGGATTGTTTTGTAGAAGGCATTTCATAAATGGCCTATATATAAACTAGGATAAACAAGAGCTGCATAAATTCCTTTGAGAACTCTGCAGTAGATGCAAGGTGCTTAGGCTTTTTTTAAAAAAATTATTATTAACCTAACAAAACAAACTATACCGACAGAGAGGTAGCATAACAGGCTGTGATATTGTTGTCATCGTTCTCAAGAAGCTATTCACAAGAGCTTTTCCACTCTCATTAGCTGTGTTTTGTTACCCTCAGACTCCACACTGGATCAATAAAAGTATGGTCTCATAAGAGAAAATCTGGGTATTTGGCAAGATGGGCGAGTTTTCCACATATATATCTCTTATGCCGGAGGAAGTCAACATCATACCTATTTTCAATCTGGTGATGTCTGATTTTATATCACCAGATTTAAAAGGGGACACTGAAGCTCAAGAACTCTGCAATCCTGGGCTTTCAATCCATAAGCAAACAGGGCTTTTCTGATAGGAAACATGGGTGGGATTTCTCCTCCTCTCTAACTGCATATCAAAAAGTATAAAAAAGAATAGGTGCAAAAGGTAAACAAAACAAGACAAAGGTTTCTTTTCATTATAACCCCTTGAAAGAAAAATGTCATCCAGATTTTTTTTTTTTTTTTAAAAAAAGAGCTCTTAGTTTCTGCTAACAAGAAAAAAATGTTCTCTTTCTGGCTATTGGAGCAGAATTCTGGATGTTTTAAAAATAGGGAAGCCATTAAGCTGATAATGGATGCAAGAAAGCAAAAGCAAATAAAACGGTTGTAATCAGCAATATATAAATTTTAATTAACTGTATCTATAATGTTTATGCTAGGTCTTTTGGAAAGAAATCACTTTTTCTCAGTCAAAGAAAGATTAATGGAGTTTAAAGAAACATTATGCTAGATCAATTATGCCAATTGTGAGTCATAGGAGATTAAGAAATTAGCAAAATGGAAGTAACTCCTTGACAAGAAAATGCCAAAGGAATAAATGAACAGAACTTTAAGAGGATGAGCTGTGCCCTGTAAAAACATCAGAAAGATTTTCGGCCAGTTTTAGAGATCTTAGAGCAAAGTTCCCCAACCTTTTGGTGTTGGCGGCTCAGAACAGGGGGAGGGGGGAAAAGATGGTTTTATGGGAGGAGTAAACATGTGCGCACAAACACCTGTTGCTCATGTGAGTGGAGTTGCAAGCGTCCATGACACTTATGGCGACACTCACGTACATGCGTGCATACACACATGCACTGGCCAGCCACTGACGCAGCCCGGTGGCCAATAGGCTGCAGCCAGATAGTAGGCTGCAGCCCATAGGTTGGGGACCCATCTTAGAAAATTAGTACATAGTTCAACTTTGCAGATACAGATTTGACTTTAATGCAGAAATCCACTACCACCTTTTACAAGTGTATAAGAGGCAAATGTTTGTAGATAAAATCCATTGTTGGGAGAACAAAATTTTTTGCAAACATTTACACATGTACAGAAGCTTTGGCTGGATATATATATATATAAGCTTACTCTAGTTCAAACAGGGGTTTTGAACATTTTTGCAAACTGTGCTACCAGTTCCATAGAAGGGACAATTATAAATCAGGAAGAAAGAAGGAATATAACTAAAAGGGTTTAAGAAACGCTTGATTCATTATTTTTTTCTGCTATGAGAAAATAATTGGGAGTAGAATGGATTGTTTTATCCTTGCTCAGTGGTCCTGGAGCATGGAAATGCTACTTGGAAGAGGCATTATATAGATGGCCAACTGGTACCAGAATGAGGTTAAAGGATACTGTTATGTCCTGGGCCTGCTGAGTGACTGAACAGGTGCAGCTGCAGAGAGGCCCGGGGCAGACCACGTGGATGCCCAGGACCAGACAGGCTGTCTCCAGCCTATTGCACATGCGCAAGGCGGGAGAAATATGTTGCATTGATTGGCTGACACTGTCCCTGCAAAGGGGTATAAAAGGAATCCACGCCATTTTGTTTTGGTTCTGTTGGCGATTCAATAAAGAGAAGACTGTTGTTACTCCTGCTTCATCTCAATGCCTACACATCGAATGAAACAGAACAGATACTACTTCTCATGATGTTATCCCAGTGGATTTTGTTGGCTCGTTCCCCTTCAAACCCAACATAAACCAATCCATATATAACTGATTCGTAATGGTCAGCATCCCTTCCTTCCTAATTATGATATATTTAAGCAGGCATGATGACAGTTCCGAAACAGGGTGTACCCTACACAAGCTGGAGATCTAAATCTACTAGAGTAGTCCAACTTTATAAAAAAAAAAGCAAATGATGGAAAATAAATATCCAAATGAGTCCATATGCAAAGGCCACAAATGGAAATTACAAAAGCCTTTATTTATTTGTTTGTTTGTTTGATTGATTGATTTTTATTCTGCCTTTATTATTTCATAAATAACTGAAGGTAGCAAACATACTTAATACTCCTTCTCCTCCTCTTTTCTATACACAACAACCCTGTGAGATGAGAAGGAGAGTGATTGGCCAGTCTCACCCAGCCAGCTTTCATGATTAAGATGGGACCAAAACTCAGAGTCTCCTGGTCATTATTTGTTTTAAACAAATTTTATTGGTTTTCCAGTTTTACATTAAGTATTTGGAAAGCAGTGAGTTGACTGGCTAATCAGTGGTTCAATAACGAAGTCATTGGTATATATCTCAGGTTACATCATCAGAAAATCCTTCTCTATTTCCCTTAACATTTGATATATCACATTTAGGCTAGTAGATTTCTAATTATAACAAACTTAGTTAAAACATTTATCAATACATTTTTTGCTTATACATATTCATGTCCTGTTTTAAGTTTTACATAATTTTTAATTATAATATTCCAATTTAATCTTTAATATCCATAGTTTTTGAGTTTCGGGTAATCCAAATTTTCTTTATTTTACTACATAAAAGTTATCATATCTAGAATATACATATTACTTACTTAAATATATTCTTATCTTATTTCATAAACATTTTCTATTTCTCATCCTAATACAGCATCACTTACTAAAAGAGTGTCCTTTATTGTCTCAAGTCCATCATCTATATTATCTGGGCTAAACAATAGTTTGAAGCTAATTCCTAATCATTAGTTTTCATTTCCCTTATAAGTCTAAATCCTAAATATTAAGCCAGTTAAACCCCTTATTTTTTATCATATAAGAACAATATTTGAATCCAATAATCATATTTCCCTTCATCTAAAAATCTCCCTTTAGCCCATTAGTTGAGACTTTAGGATCTTCTATCATGACTCAAAGGATCCCATTTTTTTAAAAAATATCTGACTTTCTTTTTGTGCCAACCAGGCTTCCATACCAATGCCTTTAAATCATCAGATAAATCTCCCTTCATTCTTGTACATATTACTTGAACCAAGGGAGACCATCTAGTTATCAGTTTTCCAGAAAGGCTGGCCCATTCATAGTCATTAGATTGTTGTCCTGGTGGTTTCTTCAATTCGGTTTGGTCTTCTTGTTCCTCAGATTTCTTCTGGTTTAGGTAGAGAGTCACGTCCAGTTTTATGGTTGTTATTTGATTATCTAGGTTTTCAATATGCTGTATTTGTTGGTCTTTAACAGCTTCCGTGTTGGTGTTGCTTTGTTCCACTTCTGTTACTTTTTGAGTTGTAGGTTCTTTAGTTGCAGTCAGGGTTTGTCTGTCAAAAGTTTCAGTAGATTGTATTTGTTGGTCTTTAAAGTCCTCTGTCTTGATATTAATTTCTTCTGCTTCTATTGGTTTTTGAATTATAAGTTCTTTCATTGAAATCAGAGTTTCATTCTGTAGGTTTAAGCTGGTGCCTTTGTCTTTCAGTCTGGATTTAATTATCTTCAAGAATTTTTCCAAGTATAAGTTTATAGTTAATTTGTTGCTGATCTTCCTCCATTTCTAACAGTTATAGATAGTCCTTTAGTGAAGGCTATTTCTTAAATGAAAGTTAGTAAATGTTCACCTCCACAATTCCTAAAAATCAATTTCACTGTCCAGCTATTCTCCCAGCTTTTTATTTCTTTTAGATAATACCAAGGACAAATCTGGGCTGTAAGCAGGTTTCTTTAACAAAAGTATTTACTTGCTATACCAAGCTTCACCACAAGATGTCCCTGACTGCATTTAAAATCTTTTTCAAAACCAGGGCTAGGTTTTTATCCAGATGAAGTTCTTTTTCATAGATAAGGTGACAGGTCCCCGTGAGAGTAGGAATTTTGGATCCCCAGATGTCAAGGTAATATAAATCCAGTTACTTAATTGTATTTTTTCAGGGCTTTATTTTCCCTACATAGTCAGGCGCCATCTTAGAGGGTGGGAAGAAGACATTCCCTTCCCTCTCTCCTCGCAGGGGAAAGAAATTTCAGAAGGCTTTTGACAGGAAAGTACTTGGGATACAAGAAGGTAAAGTCTCACCCAGTTCCTCTGCGGTGCTTTCGAAGTGCTTGGTTGTAAATTTGACCTCGGCAGGTAGTGGTTTAATGATGGGCCATGTGGATGGCCGATCTTTTCCCCGTGCCGCCCTTCTGCGATCAAACGGGAGGTCCTCTTCATGCTCGTCGCCCCTCCAAGGCGACTTTTGATTCCTTTCAGGGTCCCCCGGTGGGAGAAAACCGGACGGCAGAGGGAGCAATCGCCCAACGCGTCCACCAGCACTGCGATCCAGAACCGGAAGCTTCCTGGTCATTATTAATTTGGGGTGTTCGGAGTAGATTTTAAACTATGTGAACTAGAAAAATATTGCCACTTCTCACAAAATAACCCTATTATATGTAAATAGTTGCAACTTTGGAAAGAGTAAACAGATTTTTGCTCATTTAAACCTTACCTTTATGCAGTTCTTCCAGTCGTTTGACCGCTTCATCTCTCTCTTGTCTGAATTTGTCACACTGGAAAAAAACATGTTTTCATATTAAAAAGGATTACTTTCTCACAATTGACAGTAAATAGATAAAAACTAGGAGTTCGGTTAAAACTGCAAGAACAGCTTACAATTAAATGTGAAAGAAAAGTAGTGGATGTTAGGGAAGAAACTAGCATGGGGGTTGGAAGGGAACAGCAGTTTCCAGGCTAGACAAAATTATTACATTAATGCTGATCACTGCTTCCAAGGTCAACAAGGAAATGGTTAACTATGCACAGATTTGAAAATTCAAGATGAAAAAGTTAGATTTTTAATTCTGGAATCTGGACTTTTATATATAGGCCTTGAATTGAATTTGCAGCAACAGGCAAATCTTGGAAATAGATTCATTCTTGTCTATCCATGTAATTTTCTGTTACATAAGTGAAGTCCTGAATAGGATCTGAGATTCTGGCCATTTATGTACACAAGCTCCAACCACACATAGCTAAGAGTGAATTTTTCCGTTTAAACTTAATAGCTCTGTGTACGTTATATCCCAAATTCTTTCACATTCAACATATATATAGTTTGAATAATTTTCACATGACAAGAAAGAGCAGCCTTTTGTATGTCTTTTATATTTACTTTTGTATTTTATCAACACAGTTCATAGGACAGGGGTACTTCTAGCAGAGGGTTCCATTAAAGGCAATACAGAGTTATTCCATCTTTTCTTTTCTCCCTTCCTCTCTTCCTCCCTCCCTTCCTTCTATACAAAGAAAATTAGGGAAACATGAGAGAGTAATTTATTTATTTATTTATGAGACTTATATACCGCTTTAAGTGCAAGCACTCTCTAAGCGGTGTACACCAGTAAGCAATGTATATATATATTTACATTGCCCCCAACAATCTGGGTCCTCATTTTACCTACCCTGGAAGGATGGAAGGCTGAGTCAACCTTGAGCCGGTGAGATTTGAACCGCTGACCTGCTGAACACAGTCAGCTAAAGTGGCCTGCAGTACTGCACTCTAACCGCTGCGCCACCTCGGCTCATAACTAGGATGCTCTGTAATTCTATCAAGTAGACTGTCCCGATGTATGACTGTACAGGCTGAAAAACGTCCAAGGATATAAAAACTATACCTATAATCTCATAACTAATGCCAGCTTATTCTTCCATTGTTGCTCTTAAGGGATGCCTGGGTTGGTTGGTTTGTTTTTATAAATATGTGGATTTAAGCTTGTTTTTAAAGGAGTCCCTCCTGAGCTATCCTATTTTTCTCCATCTCAGATATAATCACTAACAATTTTCTCTTGCACTCTAACATGCAATCAGATGACTTTTGTTTAAGAACTGCTTCTGTTTTACCTACCACCACTAATAAAAAAAATAGATAATTGCTCAGCACAGTGTTTCTCAACTTTGGCATCTTTAGGATGTATGGACTTCAACTCCTAGCATTCACCAGCTAGATGTGAACATGGTCCCTATAAATTCATTAAATCAACTTGATGCAGGACATCCTCAATGATATTCTTGATGTATTTCTAAATATGAACAACCATAGTGGAAGGAACATGAACTGGATTATAAAAATAGGTATGGGAACATGGACAGAACACTTCACCTCATGCTACTTTCTTTGGAATACCATGCCTTCATAAAAAAAAATCACTTTCTGTGACAGGGTGGGTGAAAATTTGAAAATAGTTATCCTCCATTCACCAGGATTATCACCTCAATTTGACTCAGCTGTCCTGACTTCTCTTCCTTTAACCTCAGAAAAAAAAAATCCTGGCCAAATATCTCCCATATTCCACTGCACATACCTTTAAGCTGATAGCTCCACAACAATAACTTTATTTGATTAAAATTATAACTAAGACTCTTCCCGTTCACTCCAAATTTAACTGAAATTCTAAGAACCTGAACCTTTCTTTATAAAATAGAATGAGATACAATCTTGGAGAGAGGCTAGAATTAAAACATTTCATTCAGAACCCAAGTAAAATTTATATGACAATGGAAATGCCTACCATTTTTGTTTTTTAAAAAAAAAACGCTTTGTATCTTAGAATAAAAATGAATGGTCAAGGCTATCAAATCTAAAGATGCCAGCTGCCTTACATCCTACATAATATTCTTTCTTCAATCTTAACTCACATGCACAAAAACATCTACACAAAGCCAAATATGTTTGAATATGTAGAAGTTAAAAAAGATATCTTGCATATTCATGTCAGGGATTCAAATTAATAACCTGAAAGGCATGGATACATAGACGGTTTTGTTGTAAATGAACAGTGGGTTGAATTTATTTAATTCAAAAATGTACTTTCATATAGCACCCTCTTTAGAAATAGATGGTTTCTATTAACAACAGAAGCTATCAAAATCCATACACAGTAAGGGAGGAAGAATTACAACCCCTACTATAAAATAGATATAATTATTTCTTGCTTACTCTCTTAATGTACAGCTTCATGTAAAATGTAATCCAGTTATCTCTTAAGCCATACTCCTCCTCTGCCTTTAGTCAAATCAAATCAACTCAAATCAATATTCATTACTGAAATAGATCAGCATAAGGCCTGGGGAAGGAATACGGTCAATAAAAGAAGACACAGAGATATAAAAGATATAAAAGGGTGTAGAGAACATAAAAAGTTATATCAATGATATGGACTGAGTGTAAACTATAGACCATAAGCTTCTAGGTTTTAAAGTATTCTATGGTGAAAAACTAGGGGCATTGCTAAAAATAAGCTATAAGGTTTGGCATTAACCATGAGGTAAATGGCATTGTATGAGTGCTCCTACACAAAACCAAAAAATACTGCATGTTGAGGCCCAATGTATGTGCAAAAGGAACAGGGAAATGCAAAACGCTGCCATGTGTCCCAGATACTGTATAATAGAATGAAGTTTGCATGGTTGTAAAAAAAGCATTGGAGGAAGATGTTCTGTATTGCTTCTATGTGCCCCATTGTTACAAGGGCATTTTGTTCTGAGAAAGGATTCTTCCTGTATCATTCCCCAAGCACACTGGAAGGAGGGTGTGACATCATGTCAAAGTAACAGCCCTTGGTGATCCCAAAGGTGGTTTTCAAAAGGCAACTGGACTTTGATCTTTTTCCCTTAAAAACATTATGCTTACCGCTGAAGAAATGAAGAAGCTTCTTGAATGAGAAGCAAAATATTTTCAAGGAAGGAAACCAAGAAGAAAGTCCAGTTGCCTTTTAAAAACCACCTTTAGGACAACTACAACCTGGATGATTGAGAATCTCCATAGACTTTTGGCCCTTGGTGAGTTGAGAATTCTAGTTGTGTTGGGTATGCCACAGGAAAGCAAATTACCTTGGATCTCAGGGAAAAATTGTAGGTCAGGCCAATGTTACATATTACTTATGCACTATATGGAGAATCAGACATTTTTCAATGAAGGACAAAGTACTTGTCTTTAGCCTACCTATCTTTTCAACAATCGTTGGTGCAAGACACCCAGAGTTTGGTTTTAAGATGGCCGGCCTTATAAATGTTTGAAGTAAATAAAAATAAATAAATATTCCCCAAAACAGAGTGATTCAATTATCATATTTCTTCAAAGTTTGCAATAACTTCATTAAAAACTATATAAAAATCCATTTATTGCAAAACTGCGCCAAACTGAAAATACAGAACTATTACAAAACTATTTACACGTTGATCATGACACTGTAAAAAGCACACTTTTAATTGATTTCTTAGTAGTAGGGGCAGAAAACAGGAGAAAAAAACTTCCTAACCCTAATTGGGGGATATTACAGATGAGATATCCATAGCTTTTTCTTCAAAACAAAAGTTTGAACCTTCAATGACAGAAAAAACCCACAGTACTTGTTCTGAACAAGTCACACTTACAATTTAAAATTGTTCAAAGCTAAACTGAATAAAAAAAACCTGCAAAAAAAATCCAGTTATTGGAATGCATAGATAACTGGATAGCATGAGATGTTATGCAGAACTCTTACAAAAGAAATGGACCAATTGATTAGGAAATAAAGCATTAAGAAAACTTAAAATGCAGATATACATAAGATAGACACAAGATAAAAGCTATCTATTATGTACAATGCTTAGGGAGAAGTACTAGTGTGAAAACCTTGACAGAGGGGATAGTTCCGCCATCCTTAAAAAAGCAATAGTTTATCTTGTGAGAGAAAGAAGTTGGGGATTGCTGCCTGCTCTTTGTAAGGTAGTGAAGTTAGAGTAGTTGCAGACAAGCTTCCCCCTACTCTTTCTCCTCAGGCATTCATCCATTCCCTCAGAACTGCACTAATAGGCATTCAAGCTGGTGTTCCAGCTGCCTGGCTAATTGAGCCACACCCTGGTGTTTTCAAAGACATGCTGATGCCCAGAAGCAGCTTTACCCCACCGTAATAGCAGCTATTACAAGCAAGCAAGGGGACATTCATTCAACTGCCAGGACCACAAGCCATGATGAGTAATATATCCCACAGAGGGAATCCAATGAGTTTGGAGCTTTGCCTGGAGCTTGGCAGCAACTAGAAGAGAGCAACCATGCTGAGACAGCACCTCATCCCAATTCATGCAAGAATGTTTGGGAAAAGACAAAAGCTGTACAGATAGTCCTCAACATACAACAGTTCATTTAGTGACTGTTCAAAGTTAGAGCAACCATTTTTCACAGTTACAACCTTTGTAGCATCCCCATAATCATGGGATCAAAATTCAGATGCTTGGCAACTGGTTCATACTTGTGACCATTACTGCGTCCCAAGGTCATGAGATCACCTTTTACGACCTTCTGACAAGCAAAGTCAATGGGGAAGACAAATTCATTTAACAACCATGTTACTAACTTATTGACTATAGTAATTCACTTAACAACTGTAGCAAGAAAGGTCATAAATAGAGCAAAACTCACTTAAGAAGTATCTCACTTTAACAACAGAAATTTTCTGCTCAATTTTGGTCGTAGGATGAGGACTACCTGTTTAAGTGACTTTAATGACTTTGAGACTTTTGTTTGAGTTGAGTATTAACAGACTAAGTATTAAAGGACTAAGTATTAAGGACATATTTATGAGGCAACATCACCTTGAAAGCCTAGAAGGCTGGAGCTGACCCAGAGCAATAGGCAATTGTTGGAGAAGGTGTGTGTTGCAATAAAGTATTTTATATAGATTTGTTATGCTGTGATGTGTTCAATACTTGGAGAGCAAAGAATCTTCATATAGCTCCTCCTTAAGAAGCCCCCCAGGCCTCCCCATTTTGGGCAATTTTTACCCTATCTCCAACTCCCCCTTTTAGGGAAAATTGTTGAGAAGGTGATTGTCTTTCAGCTTTAGAGGACTTTGTGCGAAGTGGATTGTTTGGACCCCACCCAGTTGGATGGGCCAGAATATAGGACAGAATATGTGACTGAAATGGCATTACCACACTTGCAGATGACATCTGGAGTGATAAAGATTGTGCATCCATCCTTGCTTTCCTTGATCTTTTAGCTGCATCTCTGTATTAATTTGCTTAGCCTACCTCTTATCTTGGAGCTGCATTTTCTGCCCATAACTGTATCTCCACAAGAATAATTACATGATAAAAATAAACAACATATCAGCAATATTCAGAAATAAATGTTGATAGTCATGATGGTATTGAAATATTGCAAATGGTCCTTGATATGAATACCATTTGATGGCAGAAAGGATCTCATCAACTTTAGATAAAAGACAAAATATTCAGCAGGAAGATCCACAAAAATCAATCAACAATAAACATTCTGAAAATACTAAGTCATATGAAAATAAGTACCAACCTCATCTTTTGTTTTCTTATTTTCTTTTCTTAAATCTTCATATTCACCAATAGCTATAAAGACAAAGAGGAAAAATAGCAATACATTTATAAAAAATATATTTGTTTTCATAACTTCTGTTAAGATTTTACTACAGTGTTAGACGAGTATATACACCCAAGATTTCTCACAATTTGTAAATAGAGTGTAAAGGAGGATCCAAAAAGCATCATAAAAATAAATGAAAAGGAATTTAAACAGAAAATTAGAAGTTAATTTTTTAAACAGTCATTCATGTTGGACATTACTTGTTGCTGTGTTTTCATAGTTGCTGGGCAAAATCTGACCGATGTATGGATAACAATGGTTCTATGGTCAGTTGGGAGAAAAGAGATATACTAATCACGTCTGCTTGACAGTCTGTTAGAGAATTTTAATTTCTCTATTGGTGAAAAATAAATCAGAAGCTCTCACAGTTGACTGCATTTAGCTGATTCAAATAACTTTATATTTATATAAAAATATTTACAATACCATTCTTCTTTACAGCAACATAGCTTAATTGAAGACTTCTTACAGAGACAGACCAGAGACAAAACCTTGAGACTGGAAATCCAGCTCCTAACTCAATACTCTTTTTGCACAGACTCAGTAGCACTTTCTTCACATTGGCTGACTGAGTTACCACATGACTCTTCCTGTTCATGAATATTCCAACACTCCTCCCTTCATGACAGGAAGAGACATCAGACCTATTAATTAATACATTCTTTAATTGTGAAAAACCTTGTGCCACTAACCTGGCCTTATACTGTATATCATTATTTGGCAATACCTTTTTCTTATATACCACTTACAACCCACAGCTTTGGTTCCCTGTGGCAAAGTCACTGATTTAAATACTTCATGGTCTCCCATGGATTTCATCTCTTTATCCATGGCCTCCTTCCATTTTTCTTGTTCAGCTTTTGGTAATGCCAACACTTCTTTATAACTTCTTGGCTCATACCACACATTGCAAACCTTTACCTTGCTGGCAGAATACCTGTCAGGCGGAATTCCTTTATTACATCGCTCTGACCTACGTGGTATTAACTGCTCCTGTGCCTCAATTCTTTCTGGCTTCATGTCTTGTTCAGCCTCTCCTCCCTGAACATTGACATCTTCAATAATCATTTTTTCATCATTAGATGAGTTATTGTCACTAAACAGATCACCGTCATTAAGTGAGACATACCCAGAATTTGCATTAATTCTGTCCCAATTTTGTTCTGCAAAATTAGCAGACCTTGAAATTATAATCCTTTTACTTCCATCACTAAAGCGATATCCTTTTGACCCTGGCTCATAGCCCACAAACCTGAGCTTTCTTGCCTTTTGCTGTCCCTTTCTTCTGATTGCTTTCGGAATATGTACCCATGCAGTACTTCCAAAAATTTTCAAATGTGTCAGTGATGGCTTTCTCCCATATAGAATGGCATATGGAGTGTTATTTATGGAGGAACTCCACAGCCTGTTAACTATATAATTGGCAGTCAATATGGCTTCTCCCCAATATGACCTGCTCATACCAGAATCCTCCAATAATGAATCTTTCATTGTTTGCAAAACACCATTCCTTCTTTCAGCTACACCGTTCTCTGCTGCTGAGTAAGGATTTGTACGTCTGTGTCTTATCCCCAACTGCCCCAACCATTGTTGGAATTTAGTTGACATAAATTCAGTACCTCTGTCAGTTTGCAACTGACACACTTGTTGTCTGTACCTTCTCTCTACAAAACTTACCCACTGTTTGAATTGTTGTAACACCTCTGTCTTTGCTCTAAGCAAATAGCAAAATGAATACCTGCTATAACCATCAACAATTACCAGTGCATATTTTGCTCCTCCCAAACTGGCTTGCATAGGTCCCACCAGATCTGCATGGACCAGCTCTAGAACTCTTTTTGTTTGTCTTGTGCTAACTGGGAATGCCTTTGACTTTGATGCTTTGCATACTGCACAGTCCAAATATGTTTTGCATCCCTTCAAATTTAACCCTTCTGCAAAATCTTGCATTTGCTGCAAAACTTTAAAGCTTGCATGGCCAAGTCTTCTATGTAAAAGATGAACACATGAATCATGCTCTGCAACATTCTTAAATATATGGGAACATTGAACCTTTTGTCCCTGCAATGTTGTTGTTGTTAAATGAGAAGTCATGTCCGACCCATCGCGACCCCATGGACAACGTTCCTCCAGGTCTTCCTGTCCTCTACCAACTTCTGGAGTCCATTTAAGTTCACACCTACTGCTTCAGTGACTCCATCCAGCCATCTCATTCTCTGTCGTCCCCTTCTTCTATTGCCCTCAATCTTTCCCAGCATTAGGCCCTTCTCCAGTGAGTCCTTCCTTCTCATTAGGTGGCCAAAGTAATTTGAGTTTCAACTTCAGGATCTGGCCTTCTAAAGAGCAGTCGGGGTTGATCTCTTCTAGGACTGACCGGTTTGAACGCCTTGCAGTCCAAGGGACTCGCAGGAGTCTTCTCCAGCACCATAGTTCAAAGGCCTCAATTCTTTGGCGCTCAGCCTTTCTTATGGTCCAACTTTCACAACCATACATTGCAACTGGGAAAACCATGGCCTGGACTATACGCACTTTTGTTGGCAGGGTGATGTCTCTGCTTTTTAGTATGCTGTCTAGATTTGCCATAGCTTTCCTCCCCAGGAGCAAGCGTCTTTTAATTTCTTGGCTGCAGTCCCCATCTGAGGTGATCTTGGAGCCCAGAAAAATAAAATCTGTCACTACCTCCATTTCTTCCCCATCTATTTGCCAGGAATTGAGAGGGCCGGATGCCATGATTTTGGTTTTCTTAATGTTGAGTTTCAAGCCAACTTTTGCACTCTCCTTCTTCACCCGCATCAAGAGGCTCTTTAGTTCCTCTTCACTTTCTGCCATTAGAGTGGTATCATCTGCATATCTTAGGTTGTTGATATTTCTCCCGGCAATCTTAATTCCAACTTTTGATTCATCTAGCCCTGCCTTTCTCATGATGTGCTCTGCATATAAGTTAAATAGGCAGGGCGACAGTATACAGCCTTGCCGGACTCCTTTCCAATTTTGAACCAATCAGTGGTTCCGTGTTCGTTCTCACTGTTGCTTCTTGACCCGCATATAGGTTTCTCAAGAGACAAATGAGATGGTCTGGTACTCCCATCTCTTTAAGAACTTGCCACAATTTGTTGTGATCCACACAATCAAAGGCTTTTGCATAGTCAATGAAGCAGAAGTAGATGTTTTTTCTGGAACTCCCTAGCTTTCTCCATGATCCAGCGTATGTTGGCAATTTGATCTCTAGTTCCTCTGCCTCTTCGAAATCCTGCCTGTACTTCTGGTAGTTCTCGATCCACATACTGCTGGAGTCTAGCTTGTAGGATTTTAAGCATAACTTTACTAGCATGTGAAATGAGTGCAATGGTGCGATAGTTTGAACATTCTTTGGCATTGCCTTTCTTTGGAATTGGAATGTAAACTGACCTTTTCCAATCCTGTGGCCACTGTTGAGTTTTCCAAATTTGCTGGCAAATTGAGTGTAGCACTTTTACTGCATCGTCTTTTAAGATTTTGAATAGCTCAGCTGGAATACTGTCACCTCCACTAGCTTTGTTGTTGCTCAGATTTTCTAAGGCCCATTTCACTTCACATTCTAGGATGTCTGGTTCGAGGTCAGTGACCATCTCATTGTGGTTATCTGGGATGTTAAGCTCATTCTTGTATAGTTCTTCTGTGTAGTTTTGCCATCTCTTCTTGATCTCTTCTGCCTCTGTTAGGTCCCTGCCATTTTGGTCCTTTATCATGCCCATCTTTGCATGAAACGTTCCCTTCATATCTTCAATTTTCTTGAAGAGATCTCTGGTCCTCCCTATTCTGTTGTTTTCTTCTATTTCTTTGCACTGTTCATTTAAGAAGGCATTCTTATCTTTCTAGCTACTCTCTGGAATTCTGCATTCAATTGGGTGTATCTTTCTCTTTCTCCCTTGCCTTTCGCTTCCCTTCTTTCCTCAGCTATTTGCAAAGCTTCCTCAGACAGCCATTTTGCTTTCTTGCATTTCTTTTTCTTTGGGATGGTTTTAGTTGCTACCTCTTGTACAATGTTGCGAACTTCCATCCATAGTTCTTCAGGCACTCTGTCTATCAGATCCAGTTCCTTAAATCTATTTGTCACCTCTACTGTATATTCATCAGGAATATGATTTAGTTCATACCTGAGTGGCCTAGTGCTTTTCCCTACTTTTTTCAATTTAAGCCTAAATTTTGCAACGAGAAGCTCATGATCTGAGCCACAGTCAGCTCCTGGTCTTGTTTTTACTGACTGTATAGCGCTTCTCCATCTTTGGCTGCAGAGCACATAGTCAATCTGATTTCTATGTTGACTGTCTGGTGATGTCCATGTGTAGAGCCGTCTCTTGGGTTGTTGGAAAAGAGTGTTTGTTATGACCATCGTATTCTCTTGACAAAATTCTATTAGCCTGTGCCCTGCTTCATTTTGTTCTCCAAGGCCAAACTTGCCTGTTATTCTGGTTATCTTTTGGCTTCCTACCTTAGCATTCCAATCCCCCATGATGATAAGGACATCATTTTTTGGTGTTAATTCTATAAGGTGCTGTAGGGCTTCATAGAACCGGTCAATTTCATCCTCTTCAGCACCAGTGGTTGGGGCATAGATTTGGACTACTGTGATATTGAATGGTTTGCCTTGGATTCGAATTGAGATCATTCTGTCATTTTGGGAATTGTATCCCAGTATTGCTTTTCCTATTCTTTTATTGACTATGAAGGCTACTCCATTTCTTCTGAGGGATTCTTGCCCACAGTAGTATACTTGATGGTCATCTGAGTTAAATTCACCCATTCCTGTCCATTTTAGTTTGCTGATTCCTAAGATGTCGATGTTCAGTCTTGTCATCTCTTTTTTGCAATACATATAGATTATCTTCCTTTATGCCTTCTGCACAAATATTCCCATTCCTTTTGATGAGACATTTCCCATTTACAAAAATGACCTCAAAACCTTGTTTGTCTAAATTAGACACAC